GGAGAGATCCAACATCCTTGGGATGGAAACCAAGGAGAGATCCAACACCCTTGGGACACAGCCTGGTTGCAACGGGATACAATCAGTTTTATTTCTTGCTTTAAAGAGATCAACAATTTGTGGAGTGCAGCTGCAAAGCTACCTGGCCAAGAGAAGAGTTCTTCCCAAAATCCCTCAGAAGCATGGATCTGTGCCCCCTTCAGCACCACTCCCCTTCTCAGCTTGGAAAAACCACAGCAGGTGGAAGGAAGGAGGGGTGGGAGGGGAAGGGCACGCTCCAAACACCTTGAGAAAGCAACAGCACCCTGGGACACTTCCAGGGATCCAGGGGCAGCCACAGCTTCTCTGGGCAGCCTGTGCCAGGCTCTCCCCACCCTCACAGCCAGGAATCTCTTCCTAATACAGGAAATAGGTGAAGCTACAGGAGACAGATGAAGTTCGTGGCACCATCCATCCTAAGAGGAAGACTTGGAGACCTCGACCCCAAACTCAACTTCCCACACCCATTTCAGTGAGCTGTGCCTGCCAGAGCTGACTCCTGCCAGAGCTCCCTCTCACCACACTGATGTGCTCAGGGGGAGAAGGGCCCCGCTCCAGAACAGGTCTGACCTAATTAGCAAAGCCACTTCTCCAGCCAGAATTAACACCCAGTTACCAGCAGTTAAAGCAGAGCAGCGCAGGGACTGAAACACCCCCCAGAAATGGCTTCTAAAGAGGAAGAACTTCAGCCACACTTCCATTTTTTGCCGAGGTTCTCTTGCTGTCCAGGGGTGTCCCCGTGTTTTTAACCCCTGTCTGTCCCAGGGTCATTATCTGCTCTGCTAACGAGCTTCTGGAGCTGGTCAAAGAAAACAGACTCTTCCCTTCACGCCTGATGGTGTCTTGGACGAGTTTCTGCAGCCTGGAGGTAACCAGGCACTGCAGAACCCTCAGATATTGGCACTTGGGAATGCAGGCACTGCCAAAACCCACAGTTACCACAGACCACCTGGCCTGGAGCCGCGGGGATGTGGTGGGAACACCTCAATTCCCTGCTCTGAACAATGCCAGGGCAGGTACAAGGCCTGACCCAGCGGGCACGAGGTTCCCCAGAACAAGGACAGCTGCTGGTGACCTCCCTCAGATTTCCTCCTGTCTGGGAAATCCTGAGTTAAGGAAGAGGAATAAGTGTGGAGGTTTTGTTTTGACCCCTCCCAGAACACAACACGTGTGGGTGAACATTCCCTGCTGCAGCAGTTATCCTGCATTCCTGAATCCACCCCGGGCAGGAGCACCTGGCAGAGCTGAAAAGCAGAGCCTGAGGCCAGGAGCAGCTCTGGGAAGTCATTCCCAAGCAGGAATGAGGTGAAACCCTGACTCAGGTGACTCAGGACACGTGTGGAACTCTGGTTTGGCTTTGCTGGCTGCAGCTTTCAGGAGAAAAAAATGCCACCAGAGCTGGTACTTGGAACCTTATCCAAGATAAAGAAAAGGCAGGATTCAGTTGCTTGGGCCTTGTAGAAGCTTCATGTTCCACACAGCAAGAGATCTGAGAATAAAACTGTCCCTGACAGTTCCAAGGATTCCTGTGGAGCAGTGAAAAATCAGGAAGCAACACCCTGAGTGCTGCTCACAACCACAAAGGGCCCCAGGCAGGAGAAGCCACCTCAGGGGGGTTTCGATACCTGGAAATTGTCCCTCTGATAATCCTTTAACTGATGTGAGAGCAGCCCCGGTACCAATCCCAGCTCAAAGGAAAACCTGCAGCTGTGGCAGCACAGGGGCAGCTCTTCCAAAAGGAAAAGAGGAGAAAAATCACCACAGCGGGAGTGTTTTGACCAAAACAGACTTGGAATTAAAAGCTCAAAGACAGACTCTGGGTATACACACACAGAGGTGTGCACAGACCTGAGCACAAAGGTTTGCTCAACCCCACTGAAACAGAACTGAGCACAAAGGTTTGCTCGACCCCACTGAAATGATTCCGAGCCCCGGGAATGTTTCTGAGAGAGATTATATCCTGCTGCCACTTGTATCCAAGTGAGGGTCCACGAGGAGAGCAGGGAATTTACTGCCAAGGGTGAAACAAGAGTTTCAAAGCCCAGGGAGAGCAGGGCAGGCAGGTGTGGGGACAAAGATCAGCTTTCCTTCTCCCCATTTTTAATTCATGGCTTTGGAGGCCACCACCCGGTGCCTGCTTGTATCTCATTTACTGCTTTAGCTCGCTCACTCAATTAGCTTCTGCTCATTAAACAAGATGAAGGCACTTCATCCTCGTGCTTTCCTTTGTCCCACCAAAGGAGGACGACACAAACCCACCAGGTTTAAATAAAAAGCAGCTCCTGGGGCGGCCTGGAAGGGAGAGAACCCCCCATAAACACCCCGTGTGTGACTCACCAGCAGGCCAGGATGCAGAGGGCAGTGAAGAGGATGATGGGGATGGGGTAGGAGGCGCAGAGCAGCCCGTGGCTGTAGAAGGCCCCCGAGATCCTGAGGCGCAGCCGCTCCGTCAGGGTCATCCTCGGCCGCCGTCACCTCGCTGTCACCTCGCTGCCATCCCGGGGCACCTCCCGCATGGGGCACCCCTGCCTGGGGGGGCAGGGAGGGCTGGCAGAGAGAAACAGGCAGTAAAGAGGAAAAAAAATAAATTATCGGCTCGGTTTGGAAAGATCTTGGGAATTCAGGAAGGAATTCCTGGCTGGGAGAGGGTGGGGAGGCCCTGGCACAGGGTGCCCAGAGGAGCTGTGGCTGCCCCTGGATCCCTGGGAGTGTCCAAGGCCAGGTTGGAGCGACCTGAGCTCGTGGAAGGTGTCCCTGCCCAGCCCATTAGATGAGCTTTGAGGTCCCTCCCAAAACCCAAACCATTCTGGAACTCTGTGATTCTGTGAAATGACAGAGCAGATCCAACCTCCCTCTCAGGACTGGACCATCCCTGTTCCATGATGAACTTGGGAACAACACAAGGATTTGCCCCAGGATTTGCTGCTCCTGGGGCAAAAAAATAAATCAGTAGTGGCTCCTTGGCCAGCCTGAGCTGCCAACAGCCACTCTGGGGAGCATCGTGACACTGGGAACAGCTTCCACTAATTGCAAGGAGCAAAACTTGGTATCTCCTCACTTCACCTGCCGTGGAACAGCAGCATCAGTAAGAAAACATGAAGCATTCCAAGGCTAATGATTCCCCATTACATTTTTGGGGATTGCTTGTCAATTATTTATTGTACCTAAAAGCTGCAGGTTGTTTGGCCTCGTGGAACCCAACAAATACAAATTATTATATTTTTAAATGTATTTTGGGGAAGAAACACCGATGTGACCCCCCCTGGCTCCCCCCTCCTGCACATTCTCACACAACCCAAGACTGACCAGCACAAGGAACAAATGTAGAATTTCTTCTTGCAAGGGAAAAAAAAATCGACTCCAACTTGCTACTTTTCCCAAGACAAAAGCTTTTATCTCACTCAACAATAGTTACATGTTCCAAATTCTTTACGTTTCTGCCTGAAAGCCTATTAAAGCCTTCCCAGGAGCCTCCCTGCACACTGGGAGCAGGGAACCACGGCCAGGAGCAGCTCAGAGCCCACAGTGAGCTTTGAGGAAAAACTACCCAAGACAGAAAACTCCTCCACACACACAATGCACAGAATCCTGGGGGTTTAATTATATTCCACTCCTCAGTCTTCCACAAAACATTCTGGAATTCTTGGCAAAGGTGTCCTAAAACCACACAACCGGGCTAGTGAAGAGTGGAGGGGGGGGAAATAAGGAAAAATAAACAAATCCCTGTTCTGCAGCAATTTCTCTTGTACTTCAATACATACAATAATTTGCTCCATCGTGCTGCCTAAAATTAAACTTCCAGTGGGAATTTTAACCCAGCGTTTTCCACCTACAACACACCAAGCTTTGTAAAGCAGGAATGGACACAACGTGTTCCCTCTGCCCCTCAAAGCCCCCCACCAATATCCCACTGGGGTCAACACCACCAATATCCCACTGGGGTCAACACCACCAATATCCCACTGGGGTCAACACCACCAACATCCCACTGGGGTCAACACGTCCAAGGCCTGACCTGCCTCTCCCCCAGGAGCAGAGGTGGGATCTGAGGAGCTTTCCTGCCAAGGCTGTGTTTGGGGAAGGGCAGGGGAGGTGGGAAAGGGAAAGAAGGAAGGGTTTAGTGAAACTGTGGATTTATAAAGGTCCCTGGGTGGGTCCCTGCCCAGGGAGCAGCTCGGGAGGCTCACACAGCACGTGGGCAGGGGACCAGCAGCACTGACTGCCCCTCCTGCAGGCACTGCCATCCATCCATCCATCCATCCATCCATCCAACACCCAGCAATCCAGCACCAGCTCCTGAGGATCAGAGCAACCTCCTGCCTCCAGAGCTGCCCCAGGACATGTGGGAGCAGCAGGACTGCTGCTGCTGGAGACAGGATCAGCCAGAGCACTTGGAATTCACTCTGTGAATGAGGAACATCAGATCCGTGCTCCAGCTCGGATCCGGAGCCAGGAATGGAGGGTCCAAACAGGCCAATGCTCATATCCATGTGCCACCTCCTTCCCAGCACACAGGATGTGCTCACAGCCCCAGGGACTGAGTCACGGGTGCTGCACACACTCCCAGGCTATTCCCATCAGGAATCCCTGATCCACGGCCTCCCCTCGACCTGCAAATGGTTCCAACCTCTCCTGAGCCCTCAGCACCACGGTGATTCCACAGGAACGCTGGAACTCAGCACCACAGACACCCAGAACCATGGGAGAGGAGTGTCCCTGGAGGTGCAAACAGCCAGATGTCGGATCACTCACACCAGCAAAACACCTGGATTTTCCTGCCCTTTCCTGGAGGTGGTTCAGGGCCTCGAGGTGCTCAGAGGGATCCCTGACTGTGTCAGCTGCCACAGAGCCCCCAAATCCCACCAAGGGATCCCTGACCATGTCAGCTGCCAAGGAGCTCCCAAATCCCACTAAGGGAACCCTGGCCATGTCAGCTGCCACAGAGCCCCCAAATCCCACCAAGGGATCCCTGACCATGTCAGCTGCCATGGAGCTCCCAAATCCCACCAAGGGATTCCTGGCTGTGTCAGCTGCCAAGGAGGTCCCAAATCCCCCCAGCAGCAAAGGGGAGCAGGGGAAGGAGGAGAGGCCCAGACCTCAGGAACGCAGCTCTCCCTCTCCTCTGCAAGTGTGGGTTCTGGTCCAGCGAGGGCCAGGGATGAAACATTCCTGTGAGGACTCCAGAGGTGGGAAAACAAGAGCCAGGCTGAGGACAACCCTCCCCTCTCAGAAGTGCTGCACAATGGGCTCTAACACCAAGGTCCTGCTCTCCCCTCGCATTCCCAGGGGAAGAATAACGTGCTTTGTGCTGCGAGGGGACACGGAGGTCACGGGGGAACAGAGCACTTCCTATGGGAAAATCCCAGCCCTGCACAGCCCCCGAGGGGCCAGGGTGTGGAAGGGGTTAATCCAGCACTGCTCCAGCAGGAACCAGGCTCCGGAACAGCCTGGAAGGCCCCAGTGGGTTGTTCAGCACAGGAGGGTTACTTCTCATGTTCAAGAAGGAGAAACTCCTCAATAAATTAGATTTCAGGCTGCGTTCCCTCCACTCCAGCTTAAACCAGTGCTGAAAGTCTGAAACAGGTTTTTGAACCGGATTTGACACCCAAAATGTGCAAACTCCCTCCACTCTCACCTTTGTGCCTGTTTTCCCTCCGTGACAACATTCATTTATGTTTTGAGTTTAAAAACCCAGAGGTTGTCTGAGACAGATCCCACTTCACAAGTGGTATTTCACTCATTTGACAAGTTATTAACCATATCTCAAAATGCTTGAGCAGCAGTGACAGATTCAAAGAGAACACTTCAATAACCTCTACATCCCAGATAACGTTATCTGCTCCAAAACAGGGGCTGGCATCCAAAATCAGTTTCCAAACCTGTTTTCAGGACATTTTTCGAACTTTTCTGCCACAAGAGGAGAACCTCAGCTGAACTCCTGCCTTGGAAGAGTCATTCATGGAATGTGGTTTCTATCCCATGTCCTTTCTTCCTCCTGAAATACTCCCAGCAGCACTAGACAACAACTTGTGGGTGTGGATGAGGTGACAGGATGTTCCCTGTGAGGAGCCATGGAACACAGAAGTTTGGGATTTGTCACAAAAACAGAAGAGGAGCAAACTCCCAAGTGCTACAAACAGACAAACTTGAAACAAGGGGCGTCAGAACATCCTTTAGGAAAGACCTTTTCCAACACCTCTAAAGCTCCTCCAGCATCTCCTGGCAAACACGGAGCTGACTCTGAAGTGGCAATTCCTTCACTTTATCCCAGAAGTCACCAAGTTCAGCACTTCCCATCCAACACATTTTACTCTGAACTTCTCTGTCAATAAGACCAACCAATCCACCACTATTCAGTCCCCTGAAGATCCTTCCAGTGCTGTTCCTGCTGTGCGGATCGTGAGGAATGTCTGGTACACCAACAGGAAGAGATCAGGCACTCCCAGGGGGAAGTGGTGTGTGGAAGACTCAGTTTCCTTGGAAAAAAGGTGCAGAGTTGAGATAAGTAACCCTTTGAGTTGCCTGTGACTCCTGGGCAAGGTCCAGCCGACTGGAGATTTGGGAGAAACAACCCCACACCAAGTGCCTTGGGAAGTTCAAACCCAGGGAACAGGATGTGATGCACACAGGGAAAACAACATCTGGGGTCCTGATCCTTAATTCCCTGAAAGTGTGGCCTGATGCAGTTAAACTAAAGGAAACTGTGTGGTAGGAACTGTTTGGGATGGAATGGGATCAGTGTGGAAATCCCTGCTCAGTGCCACACACAGCACTGGGCATTCCTCCTCCTCCTCCTCAGCATCCCACGGAGGAGGGGAACTGGAAAAGGTGCTGAGAAGTTCAGGGATGATCAAAGATCCACAAAACAAAGAAGTATGGGAAGACTTCTCCAGCTGGAAAAGATTTTATCAGCGAGTGGAGGCAGCAGAGCCAGGAAGGGATATCCCTGGGATAACTCATCCCGGGATAATTCAGCACCAACCCACAGAGCAGCAGCTCAAAATAAACCCTCGGCTAAGCTGGGAGATCCCTTCCCCAGGACACTGTCCCCGTCACACGGGTGCAAAGCCGGGGATAAACCTCTGGGAACGAGCCAAGCCAAGGATTCCTCTGGCTCCAGGAGCCCTCAGCCATGAGCCACTTGTCCCCAGTGTGGCACTGGTGCCAGTGCCCAAGGGATGGTCCCCTCTGTGCCACTCCAGGCCACCCCGAGGGGCCCTGGCAAACGTCCTTATGCAACACATCCCACGTGACCCCTTGGAATAATCTCCTCCTTTCTGTTTATCCAAGGAGCTGCTCCACAAGTGGCTGGGGAATCACTGTCTCCTAAAAATACCAGACTGATGCAACACCCCCGAGCAGTTACACCCCAGAGCTCCCCCAGCCCTGCACACCCCGCTGCCTCTCCCTGGGGTACAGGGAGGAATCCATCCTCCAGACAGGAGGAATCCATCAATGCCTGTCTCCTGGCTGAAGCCTTGTGCAAACAGCTGGCCCAGCACAGCCCTGCTCTGCTCTGCTCTTCCTGCTACAGGTGGTGCTT